AACTTTTTGCATGAGGTATACATGTGAGCTGCTCATGAATTAAGTAATTTAATACTTAGTTTACCATAACTTGAACAATGGTCTTTTTTTTCTGTTGTAAAATTTATTTAAGTTATTATATAGCTTATTGATACATCAAAATTAATAGTGCAGTGGATAAAAAGTTTGAATGAGAAGTCTTAATACTGTAGGTCTACACCTAATGGAAATACCATTTTTTGTTTTTTATTTGAAACTTGAACATATTAGTTTTGAGGTGGGCAAAAAATTATTTGTCAAGTTCTCTTTTAATTTTCATTCTTATATTCAAAATAAATGTGTAGGAAAGTTGCACATTTGTGAAGTGCCTTTCAATGACATAACGATTGTTTTCAGTAAGAATGTTAGGAAATTGTTTTTTCTTCAAAATTATAAACTAGAATTGGGGCAAAAGAAATTGCAATAGAGAAAAAAAAAAAGCTGTTGTTCGATATACAACACTGTTCAGTTTAAGAGTTATTATATAGTTTTTATAAAAAGAGTGTTAAACAGCTACAATATGTTGCAAAATTCTTCACCCCCCTGTGCTGGTAATACGTTTTAAGTGTTTTCTTGTGAAAGACATAACTCAAATGGCCAAAAATATTTATTATATTAACCTCAGACCAGTTTCTAAAGATTACAAAGAACAAAAGTTGCATTGTTAACCAATTTAGTGACAAAACACACACACAAAAAAAGCTTGAAAACACATATTGCAAAAGTCTTCACCCCCCTCAGCTTTTATCATTATTGATTTAACTTTATGTCACTATCCTGCAACGTGAATACAAGTGGCTCTGTACAACTATATTAGATACCAAAGTATCTTATAGAGCCACGTGAAAAAAACTTTTGGTCATATAGGGCCATCAGTATTGATTTAAGCAGAGTATTTTGAAAGTTAAAATTTGGTGTACTGTTACACTTTGAGAAAGGTGAGTAAATAACTCTCTACAGACCTAAAGGAGAAGATTGCTCAGAAGCACAATTCCGGAGAAGGCTATAAATCAATTTCAAAGGTTCTCAATTTGCCATTAAATACTATAAAATTGGTTGTGAAGAGATGAAAAGTGTCTCAACCTTGCCAAGATCAGGTCACCCTAAGAAAGTCTGCACCTGAACAAGCAGAAAAATCATCAGAGAAGTAAATGTCAAGCAAACAGTGACACTGAAGGAGCTGCAGATTTCAACAGCAGCAACTAAAGTTACTGTACATACCCTGACAATATCACATACCTCACACAAGGCTTGTATGGTTGGGTGGCAAGAAAGAAACCACTACTGACGAAGGTGTATGTTAGATCGTGAATGGACTATGCCCATAAACATTTCAATAACCCTACATCAATGTGGCAGAAAGTTCTATGGTCAGATGAGACCAAAATAGAACTTTTTGGGCTAAGTGACAAACAGTACGTATGGCAGAAACCCAACACTGCTCAAGACCAGGCAAATACAGTCCAAACTGTCAAGCATGGTGGTGGGTCCTTTAATGTTGTGGATATGTTTTTCTGCAGCTGGCACTGGAGAACTTGTATGCATTAATGGGATCATGGACAGTGCAAAATATACACAGATGTTGGAGGTAAACCTGAAGAAGTCAACTGAAAACTCGGTCAAAGGTTTACATTTGAACTAGGACAAAGATCCTAAACACAGATCAAAGGCAACTCAAGAATGGTTTTGGAGAAACAAAATTAAAGTCAAAGCCCAGACCTAAATCCACTCTAAAATCTCTGGAAAGACGTGAAAATTGCTGTGCATCAAAGACCTCCTTCCAACAGAAGTGGAAAATATCTGCAAGCAGGAGTGGGCAAAAATATCTCCAGCATACTGTGCAAAGCTTGTGGAGGGTTATCCTAAACGACTTTCAGCTGTCAAAGGCGCTTCAATCAAATATTATCTGCATAATCATGTTAAGGGGTGAAGACTTGTAACATATGTTTTAAAGATTTTTTGTGTTATATCACTAAATTGGGTAACAATGCACTTTTTGTTCTTTGTAATCTTTAGAAACATGTCTATTATTAATATAATAAATATTTTTAGCCATTCAAGTTATGTCTTTCACAAGAAAATATCTAAAATTGATTACCAGCACAGGGGGGTGAAGACTTTTGCAAAGCACTGTATTTTAAAAGTGATAGTTATGACAAGTTTGTTACATAACACTGTACGAGTCATACATTGTTTATGCAGCTTAACTGTTGTACTAGGCTTTTGTAATATTGTTGATATAATCAAATTTTTCTTGTTATGTGTAATATTGTTGTTACTATAGGGCTAGATATCTATATATTTTTTCTGTCACATGTTATAAATAGGTGAAGATACAGAGTTAGTGAAAGTAAGACAAAGTTAGTGAGAGATATAGATATAGACTGTGTTTGTAAATTTAGCCATAAATAGTGTATTGTGGTGATTTTTTAAAGTGTTATAATTGCAGATTGTATTGTGATAACAGAGTAGAAGAGAATAATTTGTCTTGTCAAAGCGTGTTCTAAATTAATTGAACCCACCTGTATGGACTTTGTTAAAAATAGAATTATTTAAAGTTCTAGATACAATAGTGTGATAACCATGTAGTGTAATTAATTTTTGTACATACATTTGGCTTATTTTTAATATATATTATTTTAAAACAAGTGGATTGTGTGCTGTCTGTTTATTGTTGAAATTTATCATTAACAAGTCACAGACACCTACTGTAAAGATTCCGGTGAAATAAAAAACCTGACAAAAGTGAAGCAGATTGCTGTAATTTTTGTTAAAAGTGCAACACAAGCATTGTTGTTTCTATAGAAGTAAGTGCATTTATTGATGCAGATGGATAATGCCATACTTTTTTCCTTTGGAGTGACAATTTATCTATAGTTTTTTGCATTTCATGCTCTTTGAGCAATGTTATTCAAGAAAATAAAGACATTTGCTCTCTAGGTCTTTCCTCTTCTTGAATTTATTTACCATCCCTCAGAGAAGTAATGAATTTAATGTAAATTACTTATTATATTATTGTTATTACTCAAGCAAAGCATAATTTTTACAGCCTCCAACACAGCCTTATATATTTAAGGAGCCATAAACTAGAAAATCAGACCCACTTGTCACATCCTCTCTTTCACAAATTACCAGTAGTTTTCGCTGACATTTTATACTATATTATTTATAACAAATAGAAAGCCAAATTCTTAATCCATCTAATGATATATTATATTACATTGTTTTTGTTTCTGTAGAGGGTATTGTCTATTTCATCTTCAGTTTCAAATTTTTTGTCATGGGAATTACATGGATGAGCTTAGAAGAAATTTTAAAGGCAGAGTTTGTTATTTCAGAAGTTAGAAAGCCAGAAAAATTATTATAATTTTAGGAAATTGTTTACTTTTTGTGTGTTATTATTCTGTGCTCTTAGGTGCATCTTGTAACCAAATAAAAATAATTTAATCTAGTAGTACCAGTAGTATAAAGAAGTAGGCTTAAGTTTCATCAACAGCCAAAACAAAAAACAAAGGAGCCATAAACTAGAAAATCAGAACCACTTGTTACACCCACCTGTCACATCCTCTCTTTCACAAATTACCAATTCTGAAGGTCAATTTGGGGTCATGAACTCAGTCAATTTAACCGAACCCATAGAGATAGTAAAATATAGTAGTTTTTAACTCAAAAATATTTTAGAACTGATATTTTCAACATTTATTTGGTGTAATTTGCCAAGAAAAATGAAAAACAAGTTAACAGTTTTATTTTTGTACAGATACAATGAGTCTCCCCTGTAAACAATGCACTCAAATGTTTAAAAAAGTTTTTGCCCATTCCAAAATAAAGGTCTATGTTTGCTAAGAAACTATCATCCCTAAATAATCCTTGTATTGTTTAACATGTGTTTTTCTTCCTCTGTATGTTATTTTATTACAACAGGTTTCATTCCTACCCCTTTTATGTTAGACAATTTGGTCTGTGCAATTACTAATGAAACAGCTTTAAAAATGGTTTAAGGCAATTTTTATATACAACTGGATTGAGCAGATTATAATCTATTTATGTCAGTTCAAAGTAAACAGTAGGCTGAACAGTAATTTATGGTTTCATGTAAAATAACTAGGTGGAAGTCCTGCAAGGATGAACAATGTCATCTAATGCAAGCTTACAACACTAGGAACAAACTCCGCACTTCAGAACGTTTTTGTAGTTTCTTCAAAATTTCTTTTCATTCTGGAGAATGTTTTTGTTTTAATTCACATCTGTTTGATAGCCACAAAGATGAAAAGACATTTGGTAAGCTTAGTTAGGTTTAGTGAGTAGTGAACATACATAATTAACTATAGTATAATAAAAATTGCTTAAGCTAAATGCACAGATCCTCCACAATTACATACATCTTCATTTTTGTTTGCATGAAATATGTAGTTTTTGCTGAAATACAACCCCTATGTAAGTATATCAAAACTGACTTTTATAAAAAGTTATAACCTGATAAATACTGTAGCCTGTAACAGCATATAAAGTAATACATGTAATACAACTACCATATCTAAACTATACATAGTATTAACTTAAGTCTATGTGCTTTATTGTTTAAGCCTATTACTATGAGATTTTTTGCCAAACTTACATTTCTGTAAATCTAATTTTATAAATCAAACTTTCTAGATATTATCAATATTTTACTTATTCAAGTAAGGAACAGGATGAGACAACACAATTCATGCATAGTTGGAGATGAATGATGACAATTACACAACTAATGAGAAAAACAAGTGTTGTACCATTTTAAGTTTTGAGAAGATATTATGATCTTCTTGCACTATTTTATGAAACTACTTCTACCTTGAGAAACAAACCACATGTTAATGTTATTACAGTCAAGCAGCACAAAAGCAGAAGCCACATACAAGTACACCAGCCAGCAAGCCTTCAACAGATTAAGAATGCTGTCTTTAGCTGCACCCCTTTTTTTGCTAGTCTGCCAAACCCACCTGTGGATTCAGGGGCCGGGGGTAGAGTAGGGTGAAGGTCTTGATTACAATAGTCATAATCGCTGCAGCAGATTAACACTAGATTTGAACTGCTCATTTCTGACTTTAGGCACCACAGGGGGTGTTCTGGTGGAAACATCTTTGCCTTGTCCAGACACCTGAATAAGAGAAATCATAGAGGAAAAAACAAAAACAAATAAAAATTAACGTCCGTCTAAATACAAAATAACGGTGTCCTCAAAGCTTGATAAGAAGATAGCATGTAGATGGTAGAAATCTGTCTAACATGCTTCTATTGGCAACAGAGTCAAGAAAAGTTTTACTGATATTCCTTCATAACATGATGGTAAAGTCATAGGTACTGAGGCCCTTCGCTTACCTTCAGGAATAGGGGGTGCTAATGATGGAGAGAGATAAAGGTTACAGTAGTCATAGTCACTGCAGCATTTAATTACAAAATGGTAACTTGCAAGCTTTGAGTGAAGACAAATCAATGGATTTTCAGGGGGGAGCATACTCTTCTTGGCAATGCACCTATTTAGAAAAATAACAGAGGAAGAAAGCAGAAGACTCTGCATTTACAAATTCCTTTGGAATCCTGAACAGTTATTTTAATAAAATAATCACTACAAGTACCAAAACATTAAGAACATAGAGTTTTTCTGGAATGTGAAATTTTTCAAAAACAATTGAAATCAGAAATAGAGGAATCAATAAAATATTAAATAAAATAATAAAACAAAAATCAACGTTTTTTTACTTGCACAATCATTTATTTGATTTATTTATAAATGATTGTGCAGGTAAAAACATTGATTTTCGTTTTGTTATTTTATTTAACATTTTTGCACGAGAACTGTGTTTTACGTATCAATAAAATATTATTGTATTTTAAAATAACTAATTAACTTAAATTTGTTTCTTTGGAGAACACTTGATCACACATAAATATACCTTTCTCATATAAATGGTATTTAAAGCTTCATGTATACATACTTATACAACAACTTGAAAAAATTATTTTATTTAAAAGTTAACATTTATCTTGGTATTGCATATTATATTCAACTACATAATTTACATAATTTTGCACCATCAAACAGAAATTTTATTTCACCAAATCAAACCATAAAACAGTTTGGACACGATTTCCTTCTTACATTGTCTCTTTTCAGCACATATACATACATCTTATTCACTGGGGGGAAAAAAAGAAGAGAGAATCCTTAATAGCCATGGCACTTGAAATTCTTTTAAGCAGGATTAGGGTAAATTAATGTAGGAGACTTTTGTTTTCCCATTTTATTAGTTATAATTTTGTGCACCAGCAATACCAAGCGTGGGGCACACACATATACCCGATTCAATTTTATTACTCATCAGGATCTGTACCAGCCTACCCTCAAATTGAAAGATTTTTTGGCAGGATTAGAATAAATTAATCTGTGAATTCGTTTAAAGTTAAACACAAAGCTACACGATGAGGTATCTGTGCTCTGCCCACCACAGGTATCAAAACATGGGGGGGGGGGGTAATCTACGAGACCTTGGGCATGGTCAAATACATTAATCAAAAGGGTTTGACCTCCTGTGTAAAAACCTTAATTAGATCTCAAATGAGTCAAGAGATGATGGAGCTATGAGATAAAAGTTTGTACTTGAAAAAAAACAACAAACTCAATTGTTCTATGAGCAGCTCATCTGTGGCTAAAAAACACTATTTATAACATGTATTAACATTTCAGATTTTTTTTCACAACTCTGTCTTTCCACAAAACCTCATTACACAATTTAGTGAAATTCAATTCAAAACCATGTCATACAGATAACAAAAAAATTATCATACATCTGGAAATCCTAGGAAATGTCCTTAGAACACAGTGACAGAGCTAACTTATGGAGAGAATTAATTTATCCTTGACACACACACACACATATGTGTGTGTGTGTGTGTGTATATATATATTGTAATGTGTTCTATTGTTGGGCAGGTTCTTTTGGATTATTTGGTAAGAATAATGTAAAATCCAATCCACTTAAAAATAACAGATTATTTTTTCTTGAATGTCTGCTATCATCCCCTTCACCTTTAGGCCTAACATTCAAATAGAAAACTTTTCAAAAGAAACTATTGTAGGCCTAATTCACTAAGAACAGTAAACAAAATTTATTTGACTGTTAACAAAAGTTAATTATTATACTGATTAGCTTACAGAAGCACTAACTCTTAGTGAATAACTTGATCATTCACACACTGAATACTTCACAATTTCCCATTAAATACCTCAATGAACTAATATTTACTCATATTTATAACCAATGTATCCATGTCTAGATATTAGTCAAAGTTTCTCAAACTTAAAGTCACGTACCCTCTAACAAACATCTATATTTATTAAATTTAACATTAAATAATAGCTTATGATAATATAAAAACTTACAGGTTTATCTTTTCATTTTGCTAGTTTATTCCACTACAATTCAAGAAAAATTTAGACAAGATTTTAGTTTGAGTAAGGAAGATCTTAGATTATCGGGTAAAATCACCAGCACAATTGAATATCTGCATAAAGAACATAAAAACTTTCATATGGGAATATCTATATGATGTTGAAAGCAGCAAACAACTCATTTCTAATCTGCCAAAAAAACAATAAGAACAATATTAATAGTACTACCCTAAACTGGCAGATGTGATGTTAATGAAGAAACAAACGTGCAAACTTTTTTATAGAAATTTATTCACAGATCACAATGTAGACTGGGAATTTTTCAGTTTTAAGGACAGAATGTAGTCTCTAATAACATTTAATTTTGCTTATGAATTTAAATGTTTTACATGCAGCTCTTGGTATAATGGATCTACTACCAGATGGCTGAAGACACAAGTTCAAGGATATGCAAATTTGTTAAGTGATAATAAATCCAGTATAAAAGATGGCACACTCTGAGACAGTGACTTAGTAACACACTTATCCATGTTCAAGATTCTATCCAAATGCAAAGATGAAAAAGTATGTAGGAAAAAACATTGTTAATTCATAAACTAAGACCTGAACTAAATGGAACCAACTCCTCAATTGACTTGTTAAAAATCTAATCCTTAGTCTTTTATTACGAGTTATCAAAGAAAAACACATTTAAATTTGGTGAAGTTCCACTGAAAACTATAAAATGACATAAAACGAGTTGGTTACATGTATGTATTTATTGACTTTTGAATATAGGAAAAAAATGATTAAAACAAAATAATAAAAATAGATTGAGCCTTTCAAATGGTATAACACTAACTTCTGATTATAGAAATAATTTTTATGCACCTAATATTATACTGTAAGTATATTATAATTAGCTCATTTTACCCAAGATATTTAAATTTATTAATAAGCTATTATATCACTTCCCCAGATGTGCAAACAGCTGCATGAGTACATACATTTGACCAGGGTTTCCATTATCTTTAAGAGTACGTGGGTAATCTTGTTGGTGTAGGTTAAAGCTTGGGCCAAAGGTCAAAAATTGTGCTATAAGCACAATTCCCCAATAGAATTCTGAGCATGGTCCCTCAAAAAAAGTTTGAAACCGTGACTATCATTTTCTGGCCTCTTTTTAAGCAACAATGTAAACAGAAATGACAGCATGAGAATGTAATAAATGTATGAATTTACATTATACAACGTTTTAGAGTTATTTGCAGGAGTGTTTTTAATATGACTGTGTTCCCTCCATCCCTCTGGAGTAAGTAAATCGAGTCATTATATTTGAAAAATGTCTTTTTTATATGTGTCGCAATTTATTGACTTCCTCAGTACACTTATATGTCATTATACGTTTATGAGCAGCAATTGCGCATTAGGAGCATACCAGTGACAGGAATAAACAGTTATATGGAGTACATCATGCTTTCCTTGCTGCTAGCTCACTTGAAAACATTAGAAATGCCCTCAAAATTATTTCAAAATATTTTTCAAGGCAAAGAGAGACCCGCAAAGGTTGCAGTTGAAGCGATGCTGGTGACAAAGTTCCTTTAGAATAAACATGCTGGTAGCAGAAGCATATAAAAAAACAAAGTATATAGATTGATGAGTAGTAATTAGCCAAAGCAGGCAGGTGATTTAACCAGCATCCAATGAAGATCCTGCATACTATTACCTCAAAACAGTTACTTTTCTTTTCTTAACATTTGTATAAGAATTTTATTCCTCTATATTCATAAACCAGATATATCTCAATAAACCTTATAATCTCTCTATTCTATGGCATCCATTAATAGTTATTACAGTTTTAAGAGTGCACAAACTCGTGTACTGAAGGATCACTGTTAAAGATGACGAGAGGCAGAAGTCAGTGACAGCAGCCCTTTTTCAGCGTGGTGATTCACAAATATCATTTTACGATATCAGATCCCCCCTTTAGTTCCATACCAAACCAAGTCAGACAGATACAATTTCTCTCTTGTTAACATTAAACATGGCTTCTGCGACCTTCCACAAGTGAGGTGCTTTTTTGGCACATCTTATTTAGAGATGGTGATCCATTAATTGAAAAGTTCCAAAAGTTTGGCCATTTTTCTAGCTCTCACCCAAAAGACAGCAATTTTAAAGATTCAGACCTTGACTGCTCTGTTCAAGGTAAGCATAATATCATAAAGGATTGCTAGAATCTGGAAGGCAAACTTTATAAGGTAAAGCATGATAGAGTTTCAATGTGTTTTCATTTAAAGTTTCAAATAGGTACTTGATTCTTTTTTTTCCTTTTTCTGTATGTCAGTAAATGGAAGACTCAGAAGATGAAAAGTTTCCACATGCTTTACAATATATTTGTAGAACATCTTGATTTTGTGGAGCTTATTTATAAGAAAGTTTAAGATATAAAGTAAAACTACTATAGAATGCTGTGAACTAGTCTTGGTATTTCCCCTGAAGTAACTGTCAGATCCTCTTGATGTTGTGGTGGTCTGTTACACTCTTAAAAAAACTTGCAACTCAGTTTTCTACACAGTTTTTAAATATACTGTCAGCCACCTATTTGACTGTGTATCTGTCAAAAGTGACATGATTTGACCCACACCAGCTTTTATATAGGTTAAATTAAGTAGCAGTAGTATGTACAGAACATGTTTGTTGTTCGGAACTGATGAGTATTCATACAACTGAGTGCTGAATGTTGATTCTACCAAGTTTCCAAGTCTATGGTATGTTATGTACAAGTCTATTTAAAAGATTAATTCAAGGTTCTTCTCATCAGATAAAATCTATTGCACAGTTTCCACTAGAAAACTAAGTGGTATTGTTTCTAGTGATGTTATCAGCAGGTTATGTTTACAGGAAGTATTACTGATTCACCTTATTAGATATACATGCACTTTACACTTATTGAAAAGCATAAAAACAATGCTGTTTGTTTCAGCTACAGTGTTAGTGTATGTATAAAGTTCAACACTTATATTCTGACAGGAGTTTTATCACTTGAGACTAATTAGGATTGAGCAGAGTCCACCAGCTGTACAATAACAGTTGATGTAAATTACAGTAATTTGTACAGAAACTAGATCAAGTGATATATACAGTTCCAATGTTTGTTTGTAAGATTATATATCATGGCCAATACTATCACAGCGCAAGTTTTAACACTGTCAATTATTTACAGTTTCATTAAAGCTAAGCATAACCTGAACTAAAGTTAAATGAAACATGTTGAAATACCTGTATATACAATCTTTATTTTATGTATTAGCTTTTTTTTTTTAATTTTGGACTCAGAAAAATTAAGATTACAGTTATAGGTTATGAATTACTTTGCAATAAACACATAGCCATGTTATAGTCTACATGCAATTTGCATTAAATGTCAATTTAAACAAAATGTTTTCCTTATGTGCAGTTCATAAAATCAGATAAGCATTTTCATATATAATATAGATGTATACAATAAATGTTTTACCAGCAAGACATCAGCAGAATACATTGAGTAACTTTTGAATGAAAAAGCACAATTCACACAACTGAGGAAGTGCCTCAAATTAAGTATAAATGCTTAGTCATAAATGTCAAAAGGCTATCAAGTAATTAAATGAAGATATTTAACTTTATTTTGCAATTGGTGAATCTTTTCATATATACAGGGAGAAATAAGGAAAATTTGTCAACTTCCAATTAATCCAATTTTTTTTATTAGTAACAAATTCAAAAACATCTGTTACTATTTATTACAAATGCAATAACTGACATCACGATTATAATATTAAAAACAAATACAACCTTTTTTTCTATTTGCCATAGTGCTGTGTAGTTCTTTTCTACTTTTATTCTTTATAAGACTTTTTAGGAAGTGATAGACAATAGTGAAGTCAGTTACCAATTCTTGGGCTATTTTTTTACCAAAGAAAAGTGGGATTGACCATTATTTTATAATGCCCCTACTGCTGAAAAGGCAAGTATTTTTGGTGATGGAATTGGATCTTGCAACTCACAGATTGCGAGTTGAGCACCCTAATCTTCTTTCAAACGTTTCATACTATTTTTCCAGTAAAGAAAATAAATTCCAGTTTGTAGAAAAAAAATGTGATAAAAACATTAGAACATGCATCTCTACATATGCTTCTTACACAATCAGAAGTACTTAAATATATATATATTTATCAATGTTTCAGTGAATTAAAACATACTATTTATTTAAAATTTGTATAAATAAATCTTGCATTAAGCAAAGTAAAATGGGTTTTTCTTCTGCAAAAAGAAAGGTCAGAATTTTTTTTAAACTATACCAGAGCTTTGTTGTTGTTTTTGTTAGAAATATTTCAACACATATTTTAACATTTTTTTATAGAACAGATGAACAAATTGTGAAAAGGATGAGTGTTCAACAAAAATCTACAAGATAATAATTGATCCCTAAAGTTTTTTTTTTTTTTAACTGTGACAAACACTATATAGAGTATTTAAATTAATGGTTTCAAACAACTGTTTTCTTCTTCTAAATCTCACCCTTTCTAAACTTATATGTTCAGAAAAAGTTTAATCTTCAGATTTGGGCTTAATTAAACAATTATCTTCTTAATGAAAAAGACAATAGCACTTGTTTCAGATATGATATGACTGCTTAGTGTTGTTTACTACTACATGAATCACGCAATGAGTATTATCAGGTATCCAATAATGCACAGAAGTAAAAACTACTGAGCAAGATTTAAAAAAAATGTATAGTTTATATATATATATGATTAAAACACAATACTGATTCTTCTAAAAATGATAATTTCAGCTGTTTAGGTTTATTATAAATACACATACAGTGTGTTTTGGTGCTGTAAGTCCCATTGTTAGTAGTGTATAAAGCAATTCATAACAATAATCTCATATCTACACAAGCCATAATAAAGAACACTAAAGCTGTGGTAAAAAAAAAAAAACTTTTAAAGCTAGTTAATATCTAATTTATCTTTATTATGATAAAGGACATTTATTTAGTTCTACAAATATCAGCGTAAGGTAAAGACCAAAACTGAATAAGAGAACTGAAATGAGATGAAAATGTCAAATCTGAAGTTAAAAAACACAAGGCTTATATGGAAGATTCACTTAATGTATCACCAACAAAACATGCTTAGCAGCAAGTTTCTGTGAAAAATCTTAGTACAGTGCATAAATACTTTTAATGTTTAAAGATATGTTACTTTTTGATATATTTTAAAATTCCAACTGCACTGTACTAGCCAAATACAAGTCCTTACCGATTAAACAGATGAAAATTATGGGCTACAGCATATCAAATCATGTCAACAGAAGTATAATGCATCTACAATATTAAATTCAAATGTATGATTATAGAAGTCACATGAGAATTTACAATAATCATTCATAAGAGCTATAACAGCATAATATGATATATCTCACAGTTTCCTTACCTGTAAGAATGTACAGGAATTCCTTTATTGTTCATAGAAGTGGAGGTGAAGCACATACCATCAGTGTCACATGTATGATTTGAAGCATCTCCACATATATCGCAGTGACATTTCAGTGCTGGAGACAAGCATTTCTTCTTCATCAAAATATTTATGCAAGATCATAACTTACATATGTAATGCAATTAATACACACTGCATTATATGCATGTAATAAAAATTGAGTATAACTCTTTTTCAGAGTATCACAAGAGTCAGATCAAACTACTTTTACTTAATTTCATTAAATATTATATTATATATATAATTTCTATATGTATTTCTTATTTTTGACGAATAATAGAAATTGTTTCTTTACGTTACTTGTACGATATTATTTATCTATTGGAACCTAAAATTATAAAAAAAATGTGTTCAATCTTCCTATTTTAGTGAATCTCAGATTTTTAATTTTAATGCCATTTCTAGAAATCATAAATGTTTGTTTGTTTTGAATTTTACGCAAGGCTACATGAGGGCTATCTATGCTAGCCATACCTAATTTAGCAGTGAAAGACTAGAGAGAAGGCAGTTAGTCATCACTGCCTACCGCCAACTCTTTTACCAATGAACAGTGGGATTGACCATCACATTATAATGCCCTCACAGCTGAAAGGGCGAGCAGGTTTGGTGGGATGGGGATTCAAACCCGCGACCCGCAGGTTGCGAGTCGAGCACTCTAACCACCTGGCCATGCCAGGCCAAACGATAAATGATTTTACTTAGAAAAACAGAATGTTATCAAGGTTATATAAAATTTCAATTCACTCCTAATAAAACTTTCTAAAATGGATAAATAACTTTGGTGTCCATACCTCATATTGGTATACAGTAGCAACTCTTAAATTCATGCTATTAGTGGGGCAATTTATTGTAAACTAAAGACAACTTATACTTAAATAGTGTAGATATGTGAACTGATGTTTTTTGTTGCCAAAATCATAACTTAATAATATTTTGTACAATCCAGAACATAGCATAATATTTGAACATTTTCACATGACAGCTACTATACGCAGTTCAGTAAATAAGATAATTTTTAAACAGTGATGTACAGTACTCGTTTTTTGATATATTTTACATAAACTTGACACTTCAAACAACAACATCCAAAAAATTGCTAATTCAATAGAAATATATGACCTAAATTTTTATTGAATTAGCAATACATTGGATGATGTTATTTGAAGCATATGTAAAAGATATCAAAAAACAAGTACTGTACATCACTAATTAAAAATTATTATATTTACTGTACTGCATAAGGTTGTAAGTTTAGTTTGCTATTATCTTAAAACAAGATGAAATTCGATTTTAAATTAGATACATACTATAAGTTCAATGATAAAACTTTTGTGAAATGCT